TATTATTTTTTTGGGATTGAAATTGGGATTGAATTTCAATTATTCCGTATTAAGGATTTCGAGATTGGGATCGGTATATCCCGAAATACCGATCAATACCAAAATATAAGTAGTGTGTAGTTTATCCTCTCAACTATACTCTCTCATTCACTACTACATGACCCTCAACCATCAAGAGTGTCATTTAATTATATATAGATCATTTCATCACTATTTCACAACTGAGAAGTCCCCATTCAACTCAAAATTGACTTTCCAATTTAAGTCACTCTTGTTTCTCACCTAATCTCTTGTAACTTTAATAACACTAAAATGAAAATAGTAGTATTAGTAATCTCCCAACCTTCAATTCGTCAACTTAAAGATTACCAATGACAAAAACTTGAGATGTCGCCTCTCCTCCATTCTCCTTATCCATATCCTAGCTCTAGGCAAACTCAAAGCACTTTGCTTAGTCTCTTTGCCCTAAATTGTACAATAAAATATAATTTATATATTTAATTATTAATTACAACGGTAATTAATTTCGTATTCGATAATACCGATTGAGATACTGAAGTACCTATTGGGATACCGAAATATTTAGGGATTGGAATTGGGATACCAAAATTATTTAGAGATTATGATTGATTTTAGTGTGTAATTCGGTATTCGAAATTGTAATATTTGGTATTAGAATATTGATACCGTATCGATTTCCACCCTAGTTAAGGGAAACTCACCATCTTCTCTCACTGAATACACGGGTTAGTTTGCTTGCCAGTTTGCATTTGGATTGTTGCTTTGAACATTTGGTGAGCTTAACCACAACCTTGGATTTGAAGTTTGAACATAAGTGGGAGATTCACAGTAATACAACTGAAAGAGACCCTTGAGAATACGAGCTCAAAGAGTCTCATTAATTGCCTAGTTTGTATATTGATTTCCCGAATATAAGGGGTCCATGGAATTGCCCTTAACTTTGGATATTATTATTAAGTATTAGCAGAAAAAACTATCAGTGTATGTCGGGAATGATATTGGAGACCTAAATCCTAATATGATTAGTCAAATTTTTTACCATCGAACTATAACGAATCATATGAATTAATTTTCTCTTCTAGTTTCCAAACTAATACATTCCCGTTTGTCAATATGGATAATAATTATAGACTATTAATTGTGATTGCTAAACTTTCTATGACAATGTTAGCGGAAACTAAAAATATTTTGTTTTAATTTATGCATTTACTTGTGAAACTAGATATCGTCAATACGAGTGTTGAAATAATATTTCCTACAATGAAACAAATAATCAACCTTTGAATTGGGCAAAACAAAATTGTCAATAACAATCTGATAACAATGAGGAGGGGATTAGGCGAAGTCTATATCATCACCCTATATTACAGCCTGATAACAATCTGCCTTGGATAGTGTTAGGTGACTTCAATGCAATAAGAAACACTTCTGAGGCCTCAAACAACCCAGTTCAGACATAGAGTATGGTTGATTTTGATGACTGGATAACTAGAATGGAATTGGAGGAAAGTGTTTTTGAGGGGCCTTGGTTTTCTTGGACTAACAAGCAGGTGGAGAATCCTATTGCTAGAAGGATAGATAGGATCCTAGTTAACTCTAGGTGGTTGAGTGCATTCCCCAATTATGCAGTTAGCCTTATTCCCCCAAGGCTTTCAGACCACTGTGGCTTGCTCATGAATACAGACATTCAGATAACTTCCTTACCTAAGCCCTTCAAATATTTCAATTGCTGGGAAACCCACCCTCACTATGCTAAGATTGTCAAAGAAGCCTAGGGTAAGGAGGTCAGGGGGACACCTATGTTTGTTGTTTATCAGAAATTGAAAGAGGTAAAAAAGCAACTGAAAAAGCTGAATAGAGCTTCTTACTCAGAGATTTCTGAAAGGGTTCGTCTTGTTCAAGGTGAAATGGAGGGACTGCAGATAGAGGCTCTTCAGCAGCCTACTCTTGAGAGTTTCCAACAAGTAAATGAGTGTCAGGGAAGGTTACTTGGCCTTCTTAAAGAGGAAGAAGCAATTTATAGACAGAAGTCGAGACAACTTTGGGTGAAAACAGGAGACTTAAACACCTCTTTTTTTCATAATTCTGTAAAATCTCGCCAGGCTCGATCAACTATCAAAAAACTCATCTCAGAAGATGGAACTGTTCTAACTGATGCCAAGGAAATGAGTGGGGAAGCAGTGAGTTTTTATCAGAAGCTATTAGGCACTAAGAATCCAGATGTTCAGAGGGTAAACAGTGAGCTGATCTCTCAGCTTCTAGTCAACTTTCTTACCTCTGATCAAGCAGACTCCCTTTGCTGTCTTGTCACCAGTGAAGAAGTTAAAGCAGCCCTATTCTCTATGGATGGGGATAAATCCCCTGGTCCAAATGGCTTCACAGCCAGATTTTTCAAGCATAACTGGGAGGTTCTGGGAAGTGACATCACTGATGCAGTACTGGATTTTTTCAGAACAGGGAAACTTCTCTCAGAGGTAAACTCTACTTACCTTGCCTTAATCCCTAAATTACAGAATGTTGATTGTATGAAGCAGTTTAGACCGATTTCATGCTGCAATATACTGTATAGGTGTATTGCTAAGGTCCTAGCAAACAGACTTAGAGAAGTGCTTCCTAGTATCATTAGTCAAAACCAGTCTGCTTTCATTAAGGGTAGATTGATTAGTGATAATGTTCTATTGGCCCATGAGATGGTGAGGCTGTATAATAGGAAAGCTATATCTCCTAGATGTGCCCTAAAGGTTGATGTGATAAAGGCCTTTGATAGTGTTGATTGGGGATACTTAAAAACAGTAATGGAAGCCATGAAAATTCCTACACAATTCATCAAATGGATAGAAGTCTGTTTACACAGTACAAAGTTGAGTGTATGTTTTAATGGGGGATTAGTTGGATACTTTTCTGCTCAAAAGGGACTGAGACAAGGGGATCCTCTCTCCCCTTATCTCTTTACTATTGCCATGGAACTTCTCTCATGTATGTTCAACAAGGCTTATGCCATAAAAACTCTTCCTCCCCATCCTCAAACCCATAGAATAGGGCTTTCTCATTTGTGTTTTGCTGATGACCTTTTGGTCTTCACAAAAGGGACCCCTGAAGCTGTAGAAAAAGCTAAGTCCATTTTGGATGCTTTTTATGTTGTATCTGGATTGAGATGCAATCATGCAAAGAGTGAAGTGTTCTGTGGGGGTGTGGCAACTGGGGCCCAGGCTCAGATTTCTTCTAGAACTGGGTTTGCTATAAGAAAACTTCCTGTAAGGTACCTGGGGAGTCCTCTTATTGCTGGAAAACTGAATACTCTGATTGTCCAGCTTTGGTTGAAAAGATAACTGCTAGGATCAGGGGCTGGAAGGTGAGAACTCTGACCTATGCTGGTAAAATGAAACTCATCTCTGCTGTCATTTCTAGCATTACTCAGTACTGGATGGGGATCATTCAGCTCCCTGTTAAGGTGATTAAAATGGTTGAGAAAGCCTGCTCTGACTTCTTGTGGAGTGCAGAGGAAGAGGGGAAAAGGGCAAAAGTTCAATGGCAGTTGATAACTAGACCTAAGAAAGAAGGGGGGTTAGGTTTCAAAGATCTCAGAAGCTGAAATATGGCTTGCTTAGTAAGGCATCTCTGGGCTCTTTCTTCTAATTCTTCTTCTCTATGGGCAAGTTGGGTTAGGCACTACCAGCTCACCTATACTTCTCTGTGGGACATACCTACATCTATGCCTTGCTCTTGGGCCTGGAGGAAAGTCTTGAAGATTAGGACCAAAGTTGCTCAACATCTAACAGTCAGACCTGCAGGTGTGTATTGGGGGAGACTGTGTGATGCATAAGTTCTCAGTAAAAAAAGTCTGGGAGACTCTTCGTGATAAACATGAGGCAGTGCATTGGTTTCCATTGCTTTGGAAGTCTTATGGCACACCTAGAGATAAGCTTCTAGTCTGGTTAATCATCCTAAACAGAATTGCCACATTAGACAAGGTACAAAGGTGGAACAGTGCAGTGGTCAACCAATGCCCATTACGTTCTTCTGCGGAGGAATCCAGAGATCACCTTTTCTTTGGATGTGCTTATTCTAAGAGTGTGATGCAAGCAATGTTTGCAGGAAGGGATGTGGTGGGGGCAAATTTGGAAGGTTCCTTGGCAAATGCTATATCACTGTTCAGAGTGAAAAACTCTGTATCTGAGCGAGGAAGGCTCCTTTGGGTAATGGCGGTGGCTAAGCTCTGGCGGGAACAATGCAGAAGAGCTATGACTGGTGAGGCTCTATCGAAAAATCAGCTACTGAAAAAGCTGCAAGGACTACTGCAACTACTCAGGCATGGATTCCCTCAGGAGGAGCTTGCTGTCTCGGAAGATTATATCAATAGTATAGTAGTGTAGTTTAGAATTGATTGGTTTTTGTGTTTCTGCCTCTTGTTTAGTTTGGTAGTCAAAATTCTGAGTTGCAATTTGTTGTAAACATTGGTGATGTTTGTTGGTTCCAGTTGGGGGGTTTCTTCCTTTGAAAAACCCTCCTTCTTGATGAATAAAATCTGCTTATTCATAAAAAAAAATTGTCAATAATTTTTGCTGAGATGCATATAAGGAGCGACATCTTGGTATAGTTTAGATGACCAATCAAAAAAATTTCTTAGAAATTAGAATAAAATATGACAGAAAATCGTGTTTTTTTAAGAAAATAACTCCATGATTATCTTATGTCATTAGTTCTCATATATGTTCTTTTTGAGTAATGAGATTCTACTGGCCTCCTTCGGTCGCTTCCTGATGCTATTATCCATAGAGGCCAACGATCCCTTCGAATCAAAACCCTTTTTTGTTCCATTGACCAATTAAGGATGTCTCATGTCCTGCTGCAGGAAAACTGGGAAAGCTTCATCCACCAATTAATGGATATTTGTTACCAAGTATTACAGATAGAGCTCAATTAAGTTAAGAGGTTGAGGAATATTAAGCAAGGATTGTAATAGAAAAGTTACTCTGACAATGCTCTCGACTGACTCAGGCGGAACCTCGGCTCCGGCGCCGACCCTCCTGCCTTCTGACCGACCACCTGATATACCAAGCGATTTGGCGATAGCCGAGTCTAAATTATTGTCTCTTTCAGTGGCTCCGAACACTAGTTCCATTGACATGGCTATTGATTCATCTGCTTTGACTATGCAGGAGCGACCGGTCCAAGTTCCGGTGGCGGGGCCTCAGACGGGGCTGGGGACTGGCCAACCTCTCTCGTATGCTAAGGCGGTTATGGGTGCACCGGCGAAGGCGTCAACCCTGAATCAAGTGCAACGTTGGACCCGGTAGGCGAACATGATTTGGTGATTGGCGATCGGATTGGGGAATCAACACTCACACTTTCGGCTGACTTCAAAGCTAAGTTATGTGCGCCGTGGGAAAGAACTCTCGTTTGCTCGGGTTGAGGATTGGATTTGTTACTCTCTGCAATCGGCTTAAGAGTTTATGGCGGCCGACGGGATCAATGGAGGTCAAAGACTTAGACCATGATTGCTTTCTAGTTAAATTGGACAATGAACAGGACTATTTCTGGGACCTGACCGACGGACCGTGGATCATTTACGATCATTATCTGGTTGTTCAACAGTGGTCACTGAAGTTTAAGGCCTTCGATCCTCTTCCAAAGACTATGATAGTCTGGGTTCAGCTCCCCGCTCTGAAAATCCATTTTTATCATAAGGAAGTGCTCACGATGTTGGGGAATCTTATTGGCCGGACGATTAAGCTGGATTACCATACTCTAAAGCAGGAGCGTGCTAAGTTCGCTCGTCTGGCGGTAGAGGTTGATATCTCGAGGGCCTTGGTTCCAAGGATTTTGCTTGATGATGAATGGCAAAAGGTTGAATACGAGAAACTCCCTGAGGTCTGCTTCAAATGCGGAAAGATTGGACATGGTTCTAGAACGTGTCCGTTAAGCAGCTCGGTTGAAGCGCCGCCGCAATTGCTTATTTCTGGTGGGTTTTCGCCGGCGAGCCTACCACATACGCCGGACGATCCCAACCCTGGGTTCGGCCCGTGGATGTTGGTAACAAGGAAATCCCGGCGAAATCTTAGGGAGGATCAAAAGAAAGAAAGAGCGAGCAGGAAGCGGGGATTAAAAAATTGAAGCCAATTGCAAAAAATGGTTACCGGAGTATTTTGGCCAAGGAAGGGCTTCAGCTATTGCCTTCTGTGGCATCTCCCAACGGCCACTTACCTAATCAGGGATCGACCCAAGAAAGGAAGGTGAGTAACGGAAATAAGAATGGAGAAGAGGCTAAAAAAGGAAAGGAAAAGGGGATTAGCAAAGATCCAGGGAAGGGTAAAGGGCTTCCTGGGCCAGGGCCCAACAATGGTGAGGCGGGCTTCAGCAGACCGGTGCCCCTGACTATTGATGGGGCATTAACGTCCGTCGGGCCATCTGAACCCACTCCTCTACAGCAAGTTCAGCCGATGATGTCAGGAGCGGGACTTGGGGCGATTGCTTCTAGTAGGCCCACGATCTCACCTCCCAACCCCCTACATTCCAGACGTTCACAGGTCCAAATGGAAAGGTGATGCAAATAGTCGTTAACTCTCACCAAGATAAGGAGAACAAGGACCCAAAGGCGATCCCCTCACCTTCTTTGTCGTCTAGAACAAAACGTAGCAAGAACAAAAAGCTGCAGCAGAAGAGATCCCCGATAAAGTTGAACTCAAGAAAGCCTCTACAGATTTGGTCCCCGGTGAAAGAGAGGAAACCCAAATCCAAGGGTCGTATGGCGACGCTGACCTTGCAGGAGATCAATGCCTGGACGGAAGCATCAAAACGACCAGTTGTTGGAGGCAGGGAGAAGAATCCGGCGGGGCAGACCGATCAGGTCGTGGTAGATGACAGCCCGATCGACGGCGCTCCAGTGTAGGCGGGTCAAGTCCCTCTCGCCTTCTGCGGTGCAGTTTCACTTATCCACCTTTTCTTTCCTACTTTTATCTATGTCGATGAGCTACAAGTTAAGAGTGTTTTCGTGGAATGTCGGAGGAGCAGGGAGCAGAGTCTTTTGTCGGGCCCCGAAATTGGCAATTCAAAATCATCGACCTGATTTTGTGGTATTGTTGGAACCTCAGATGAGTGGTGATTCGACTAATGCAATGTGTGATAAATTGGGTTCCCCCAATTCATGCAGGGTTGAGGCAGTGGGTCGAACGTGCGGTGTATGGAAGTCTTTGTTCCAGAGGCAATGAACCCCCTTGGATGCTTTCCGCAGTTTATGCCTCCCCTCGGCAGAAGGAGCAGTGGGTTCTCTGGCAGAATTTGATTTCTGAGAGTTAATGCATTGAGATTCCGTGGCTGTCACAGGGACTTCAATGCCATTAGCAAACCGGACGAGAAATCAAGGCTGCCTGTGAGGAACAAGCTGAGGAGGTGCCAGCTCTGTACGGAGAGAATTAATTTGGCAGAGCTGGTTGATCTTGGTTTTTCGGGACCAAAGTTTACATCGTCCAGAGGAGTTCAAAGCCAATCTTATAAAGCGATTCGATTGGACAGGAGCTTGTGCAATCTTAGATGGAATGCGGCCTTCCCTAACTCGACGGTAATTCATCTACCGCGCTACCAGTCTGATCACAATCCAATTCTCACCAGCGTGGAGTTGCAGCCGAGCCCGCTCCATTCCACGAGACACTTCAAGTTTGAAGCTTCCTAGATGACTAACAATAGCCTCCCCAAAGTGATTGCAGATTCCTGGGACAAGAACGCCCCTCTCCCGGTTGCGCTTCATTCGCTGGTTGCACAGCTTTCTACTTGGAATGACGAGGTCTTCAGGGATATTAAGCAGCAGAAAAGAAGATTACTGGCCAGATTTAAGGGTGTTGAAACAAGGTTGGTTGCTGGTTTCGCTCCCGGTTTGGCCAAACTTCACTCCAAGTTGTCTGAAGAGCTGGACAAAGTTCTTGAGCAAGAAGAACTTATTTGGTTTCAGCGTTCCAGGGACAATTGGGTTAAGTATGTCATAACATCGTATTTGCACATGTTTGCACCCTCATTTCTTGATCATTTTGGCTTGAGTTTTTGCTTTCTTAGACTATTTTACGTTAGGTTGTGATCCTTTGTCACATTTCAGGTCCTAGCATGTAAATTGAAGCATAGTTGCAAGTTTCAAGTTAATTGGAGATCATTTGGCAATTCGGAAGAAGAAACACGAGCATGACCTGAGGAATAATGGACTTCTACCTTATAATATGGAAAACTAATCATGGAATTTTGCTATGAAAAGAAAGAGGACGAGACTACGAGCGTCTGGGATCAAACGGAGACTGATTCGGAGTCCAGACGAGGGAGAAACGAAGCATTAAACAGGGGCGGAGGAAGAAATACAGGCAGGAGAATCACGACCGTATTTTCCCCTCCTATGCCCGTATTTTCACTGCCGAGAGGAGCTTTCGATGAACTGAAATTTAACCAAAACGCGTGTTTTAGGCAAAATACGGGCATGGAAGAATTACGACCGTATTTCTGCCCGTATTTCGCCCAGAATCGGGATTTTGAGGCAGATTCGAGCCAAAGGAAAGGGAGAGCTTGGTTTTGGCTCCCAAACACCCAAGGGACGAACCCTAGAGAGAGAGAGAGAGAGAGAGCGACTTGGGAACATTCTTGGAGCTATTTTGGAGGATTTCTTCACCATTGGAGCTCGGGAATCAAGCTTGGAGATGGAGATTGAAGATCTAGATCAGATTTATGCAGTCACTCTCTTCTCTATGGAGTAACTTCCCTTCACTTTGGTTTTGAGTAACTCTAGTTCCATGTGTTAGGATCTTTCTTGTATGAAGTTTTGGATGCTATATTGTTTGATTATAATCAATTGAGGCATGATTTATAGAATCAATTTAAGCCTGATCATCTTCTCTTGATTTCTGCTTTAACCTATGATAGATAGAATCTGATTAGGTTAAGAGAGCTTCCTTGATTGATAGTGGTGAATTGGTTGTGCGAGAGTCAATCAATTCACTACTTTGTACTGGAATTCATTCCAGTAGTGGAGATCTGTGTGAATCGCCTTAGCAGTCTATCTTGGTGAAGGCTAGTCGCCTGCCGGGTATTATGTCTAAGAAGGCTTGGTTAGCTTAAGAGATTCCAAGCTAATTTAGGATCTTTCGCAGTTTAATCAACAGTAGATCAACCAAAGGTAATTGAAAATTGGACCTAATTGAGGTGCTAGGGGGAATCATACCTAAGTGAGTTCCCAACTTGTAATTAGTAGAGTAGTTAGTAGAGTAGTTTAGTAAATCAATCCTTAATCTATTTTGCTAGATAATGAACTGAAGCTGAGTAATAGTAACTCTAGAGACCCGTGGATTCGATATTTATTACTTGTGCCACTATACTACAGTCCCATTCTGCGATTACACTTGGTCGCAGTTTGGTGTTGTGTCGTAGCGTGTCATGTTTTTGGCACCGTTGCCGGGGACTTTCTAGATTATTAGGAAAGGCAAAAGTTTGTTACTTTAGCGTTTTTCTTTTCTTTTCCACCCTTGCTTTTCACTTGGGTGTTTTTTGTTTTTGTTGGTGCATATCCGAATCATGGATCCTCATGGCTTCTCCAACCATTGGGGGCATCCACCACCGTCCAAGTGGTATTACCCCGAGACTCCCTGGAGCAATCAAGGACGAGAAGACTATGGATTCGGGTTCCAGTACCAACCCCTTATTACGGGGAACAATCAGACGCCTGGGCATATCAAGAAGAAATTCTCCCACAACCAGAAGGGCCATCGAAGCTGGAGTTACCCATGGCGGCCTTCGCGGGCCATTCTGCAGAGCCATGCTACACTCCACAACCAGATCCAAATTATGATTTGAAGCTACTCATGGAGCAGTTTGCTCGAGACAGTGAGAGATCATGGGATATGATGGATCTTTGTACCCAGGCCTTTCGTGAAACAGAGGAGATCCTCCTGAGCCTTAAGAAGAGCGTCGATGATCTTGAGCGATCTTGTGCACAACCTGCTCCAGATCACCCTTCTGCTACCATACTAGAAGAGGAGGAGGAAGAAGAAGGCTACAAGGACATGGTGGAGCACACTGAAGTTGTAACAGAGAGCCCCCGTGATGATCATGATCAGGAATGTCCTGTCATAGCCGACCACACCTTCCCACATCCCAAACTGAGCTTTGAAGAGGCGGGCATGAGTGAGGAGACGCAAGAAGATCTCATGGAAGAAATTGCTTGGCAACTTGCTCTCCAATCCGTGCTAGAAGAAGAAGAGCAAGAAAGGGTGCAGAAAGAAGTTCTGGAGGATGACGAAAGTGAAGCAGAAGGAGTTGTTGATCATTTCCCAGGGGTGATACCACATGAAGAAGAAAGGGAGGTTGAAGAAGCAATTGGCGTCCAAGCTGAGGACGGAGTTAAGGTGGAAGAGGCCTGCACCGGCCATGAGTTGCAAGTAATATCCCCACCAAACTTCGAGGAACTACTTAGCAAGGACCCATTTGCAGTGTCTCTTTGCCAGACCAAGGCCACATCGACATCGGTCCCTCTTGGTGGACGCGATGGTGGTCAGTCGACACGATTATATTTGGTTTGGGGCAATGAGACAAGAGAAGAAACGAGGAAGAGGTCTAGAGGGTGGAGACTTCAGTTGCATCAAGTGCATGAGCCTTCATCACCTGCCACACCACTTGCTCTTGACTTGAGACTCCACCTCATAGATGAGAACCTCAACTTCAAAGAGGTTCTAGCATGGACCGAAACTTAGGAGCTACCATCCGGCTCACGACGTGAAAGAAGCGGTTGTTGGGAGGCAACCCAACTAGTCGGTTCGCATTTCTTTCCCTATCTCTCCTCATTTGAGTCAGTTTTGTTCTTTGATGTTAGAGTCAATAACTCAACCTTTGTGAGATTTTGTGTGTTGTTTGTGTTCCGACTACTCTCTCCTCCTAGAATGCACCGCCTGCCCCATCCACCATCATTCACTCTTGATCTGGTAACTTCGTTTTACCCTCCTTATCTTTCCTCCTTTGAGGACAATGTCGTGCTTAAGTTTGGGGGGATGTTCGATTATGTATGCGTGTGAATGTTTGGCTGTATGTGTGTGCTTGGAGCCTAGTCCACTGTCCAAATCTTGAGATTTGAGGGCTCCAAGTACAGATGTTTGCATGATCATATTGGCACTGTGGGTTTAATTGGTGAATTGAATGGCTTTCGAATTAATGCATAACAACTGGATTGTGACTAGGACAGCCTATTATGATGACTGAGACGTGTAGTAGAATTGTGTAGGGGTTCATGATGACTCGGTATTTGCACATGTTTTCCCCTTTGTTTCTTGATTGTTTGAGCTTGAATTATCATGTCTTTGGCCTATTTTACGCTAGGTTGTGTTCCTTTGTCACATTTCAGGTCCTAGCACATAAAGTGAAGCATAGGCGCAAGTTTCAAGTCAATCAGAGATCAATTGACGATTCGGGAGAAGAAACTCGGGTATGACCTGAAGAAGAATGGATTTCTACCTCACTTTATGGACAAAGAATCATGCAAGCTTGTCATGAAAAGAAAGAGGACGAGACTACGAGCGTCTGGGATCAAACGGCGAATGATTCGGAGTCCGGACGAGGGAGAAACGAAGCATTAAACAGAGGCTGAGCAAGCCACACGGGCACAACCCACACGGCCGTGTGACCTGGCCATGTGGCCGTGTGGAAATCACCGAGCCTTCACACGGGCAGCTGGGAAAGCCACACGGCCGTGTGGCCTGGGCGTGTGAGTCGGGAATTGCTATTTAAAACCCGATTTTTAGCAAAAGGAGAGGGAGAGAGCTGGGTTTTAGATCCCAAACACCCAAGGGACGAACCCTAGAGAGAGAGAGCGACTTGGGAACATTCTTGGAGCTATTTTGGAGGATTTCTTCGCCATTGGAGCTCGGGAAT